AAAAAAAAAAAAAAAAAGAGCGCCCAATGCAATATAGCAAGAAAGGATCAACCTGTTAGTAGAAAATGCAAACGCGATAACAACTTGCAACATATTTTCTAAGGGGGAAAAAATAAAAGCAAAGGAGACATGAACCAAAACGCCCTGGAAAAAAAAAAGAAAAAGAAAATAAAGGACAGGAACACATCCGTTGGACATGTGTTGCATTGTCCCCTCCTCTGCACTGTTGACAAGCTCGTGGGTTTGAACGAGGCAGGTGTTCGCACATGTGTACTCTTCTGCTAACGTGAAGAGGGAGAGGTGACTCCATGACCATAGACGTCGCCTTCCCTTCGGACACCTGTTGGACGTGGGTGGTCAGGGCGCACAAGCGAACGGGTCGCATGTACGCCCTTTTGACGTAGCCATCACATGGATACCACGTAAAACGCGAAAGGTCCCTATTTGTGTGACAACAGGACGTACTCACATTAACTTGGACAGGAGAACCGGTACAATATTCCTCCCCCGTATGCGTCTTTTTTTTTTTTTTTTTTTTTTCTCTTTTTTTACCTGACTGGTCAGCTCACATTTGGAGCAACTTCCCCACTGATGATAATTCAAAAGGGGGACAAAAAAATATTTAACAAAGCAACATTTAATCCATTGCGATGTTATGCGTTCATCTCCGGCGGGGGATCAAAACCCACGTCCACTGTTCCATCGCTACTCCGTTTCCATCATTTGCCGGGTGAGTAATTCCCGCTAGCTGAACGGTCAGCATGAGAAAGTTTTAACTTTTGTAGCGAAGCCTTTTGGCCAGCGCCTGTTCCCGCATTTAATACATCCGTTCCTACCCGAACGTACACTTTGCACACACTTCCATACCTACTTTTGCGGAGTGAGAAAAATCACCACACAGTGGCTCCGTCGAAAAAGGAGAAACGTCCATTCGACTGTCCATTGGGGCAGTCAAAACGGAAAAAAAAAAAATAAATATATCACCTTCGGTATGGATTTGCATCTCCAGTAATGATTACATCATCACATAAAAGGTAGACATTGAGGAGAAGCAAACAGGGGAGGGAAAAAAAAAAAAAAAAAAAAAAAAATTCACCCCTACGCGGTATGCAGCAGCGTTGGAGACTATTCCACGTGCGCACACAAATTGGACACTCCCTTGCGCGTTCGTATATCACTGGGTCTTCTCTTCCTGGGTGAGCCTTGCGAAGTCTTCTGTAAACTTCAACCCTGTGAAATGTCCAACTCGCGTATCAACGGCAGCCCTGCCAGCATGTGTTAACCACGCCAGCGTCGGCATCTCGGACAGCGCGTCTACACCCTCATACGTGCAAAAAAGGAAAAAAAGAAGAAAAAAGAAAAAATAAAAACTCAACCCTTTTTGCCCAAACAACCCATCTCTAAATGAGTAAAGCGATGGCCAAGGAAGTCACCATTTCCCAGTGCATCAAAAACTGGGAACAGAAAAATGGCAAGACGGGAAAAAAAAAAAAAAAAAAAACAAGCGGCTCGGTGAAAGCATAAGATGAGGGTGGCATGGACAGTGCTAACAAGATGGAGAGCTACGCCAACGTTGTTCACCGCGTCATGACGACGCATGTGGTCAACCCTGTGCACCTCCCCCAATGAGCACTGTTCTTCCCCCCTGGCAGGCAGAAAAATTAGTGAAGAGGAAGAAGTGAGTTTCATTTGCCACATTCCTCTAATTGAAAAACTAGACAATAGCATCAACTCACTGGAGAAGTGCAAGCGCCTGTCCTTGTCGACCAACCGAATTGAAAAGCTAATCCCCATGTCGGGTCTGAGTAAGTGTGTGGTGAAGCGGCCGCACAGTCGTTGTCACGTGGTTGCTGAGTCTGCCAATTTGCCCATGTGCTGCTGTCCGTAACTGCCGCCACCCCCGCCACGCCGCAGAAAATATTGAAATCCTCTCGCTCGGAAGAAACTGCATTAAGAAATTTCAATTCCTTGAAGACATCAGTGGCACGCTCAAGCAGCTGTGGATGTCCTACAACAGCATCGACAAGCTCGACAACCTCCACTCCCTTAAGAAGCTTCAAGTGCTCTACTTGTTCCACAATAAAATAAAAAACATCGAGGAGGTCGACAAGCTGGTGAGTCTGTGCAGGGCCCTTCCCCTGCATCGCGCTAGCGAAGTGGCGAAGCGGCCAAGTGACTCAGTTACGAAGTATCGTCGCGCTGTCCATTTTTTTCTACTGTACTGTGTGCATGCCTTTTTACTATTTTTTCCCCCCCCCCTTTGAAGAGCGCGTTGCCAGAACTGGCCGAGTTAGGACTCAAGGGGAACCCCTTATACGACGGAAAGACAAACGTAACATATACATTATCTACATAGGCAGTTTTTACTTGGCCTCTCTCGTTTCACCAGGCAAGCCATAAAACACTTTCGTGCTTCTTCCCGCTTTCCCACCAAACTGTGCAGGAGTATATGAAGTTGGTGATTTTAAAAAAGCTACCCCAGCTCAAGGTTGTGGACAACGAGACGGTAAAAAAAGAAAAAAAAAAAAAAAAGGGAGAAAAATATCCCTGTGATGGCTCATCAGTGCCACAAAGGAAGCACACGTGAGGACACGTGTGCAGACGCATGCATATCTCCCCCCCCCACAAAATGCAGATCACGGAGAAACAGAGAAATGACGCCCTGACCGTTGAATTTGTTTGAGCGCAAAAAAAAAAAAAAAAAAAAAAAAAAATATCACGGTGTGAAGATATATAACTCCCTTTTTCATTTTAACCTTTTGTCCCATCCCTCTTCCCATCCTTCGACTTAACCTTTACATTTTCTATAATGTCAATTTTTCTTTCGTAAGACTTTATTTTTTTCTGCACATTGTGCTGCAGTGTGGGGTTAAAAGGGGGAAAAAAAAAAAAAATAAACACATAAATAAATTGGCTAGCACATTGGCGGACTGACATCCGTGATGGAAGAGGGAATGGCTCTTGGGGCGTCCCTTACGATGTCTTTGTTCAGCTGGATGCACTGCAGGACGGAGTTGCTGCCCATGGCGCCGACGTGCTCGTACTGGTTCATTCTGCGCGCGGTGTGAGAGGAAAATAAAAAGGGGGTAATGAGTGGGCGTATGCATAGTGGGTCACCAAAGAGACCGCGCGGCACCCCCCTCTGCTTTACTTATTCGACACGCTGTTAGTCGAGTCAATCTTGTTGGTCAGGTCGATTATCATTTTGTTCATGTCGTTCAGCGTGCTGTTGTTCTTTTCAATGATGGTCTGCATTTCTTTTTTCCTCCCCTCGTGTTCTTCAATTGTATTGTGCGTCTGTCTTAGTTCGTTCAGGAGCTTCCCTGTGATGGGTTACAAAGGGTAAAGCGGGTGGGTCTATTTCGACGTCGCTGCATCGCGTAGCAGGTGCATCGCATAGTAGGTCTGGTGACGGCGATGGCACGCTACAATACGCGCGTGTGAGTCCCCGCTTAGCCCCATACTTAGGCAGGAGTAGCTGTCCTCGTGTTCCCGCATGAGCCTGTCGTAGTGCAGCTTCAGATTGTGAATGAGCACATGCAGGTACCTGAAGTCAACGCTGTCAATATTTTCATTAATGGTGATTATATAATTCATATGAGCAAACTTTTTCTTATACAGATTTAGAAGAGTGCTGTTTGTCTTTTTGGCTTCCCCAACTTTGCCTCGATGCTTCTGAACGAGCTCATTAAAAAATTCACTTAAACAATGCTTCCGTTTCATTATGTATGTATCACTTTTCATTCTGTCCCTCCATGTGTTATAACTTTTTATATCTTCGTCTAGCTCGAAGAGAAGAATTTTACACTGAGTGATCATCGAGCTGATCACCGTTTTTGCATTGTCGTAATAAATGGTATTTTTTTTTATCTGTCCTTTTAACTTTTGTATCTCGTTCATCGTCAGCTGCTGCTTCTCGGCCAGGTTCAGGTGACTCCCTGCGGAGGGGAGGGGGGGGCGAGGGCGTAAAAGAGGGCAAAGCAGGGATAGAAGCGAGAGGGAAGACAACAACAGGAACAGCCCCGTTGCACATTTCCTCGTCGACTGTGCAACCCGTTTCCGTGACGGGCCTTGCCTCCTTCCCTTGCGCAGGAACTCACTCTGCATGTCCTCATGCGCCTCGAACGACTGAATGGAGTAAAATTCGTTCGTGGACTCCTCCCTCTGCCAGTGAAGACAAATGTTTTTCTCGTTCGTCTGGCAGGGCGATGCGGGGGACTCTTCCGCTGGGAGGACAAATGGGGGGAGGAAGGCGAATAACACAAGTGAAGCGAACGATGCGGATGAAGATGGTGTGAACGATATACGAGATCAGCCAACACGATGGGGAGACCTCCCTTTCGTTTATTCCCTTCAGAGGACTCATGTGGGAGAGGTACCTGTTTGGTCTTTCTCCTCCTCCGTTGTTGCCCCCCCTGGTGGGTCCTTCCCCTCAGATCCCTCCCGCACTAACGTGTCGCTTCCATTACCCCCCCGTGAAACACAAACCATGTCATCCACGCCAAGGTTGTACACCCTGTTTGTGAGTTTATCTTTCGTTACATGCTGCCCAGACAAAAGAGTACTAGGAGACCCCCCATCATCTACCTCGGCCTTTGTTAATATATTTTTTAAATCATTTTTACATTTTTCTATCGCCTTATCAAGGAGCTTATTCAAGTGAGATGCAAACTCATGTCGTGTTAGGCTGAAGTTTATTTCATCCTCCACGGCATACAGACTTGTGCACACGTGGTGAATGTAGGGCAGTACTTTGAGCAGCTTCGTCTCCTCTTCGTAACTTTCAATCAGTTTTAAAAAAGCTCGGTTCTCCAGCTCGATGTTTTCATTCTCCCTCTGCAGCGGGGCACACACACATACACACATATATATGTTTGTGTGTGTATACATTGTATGGCTTACCACTACTTCGTCACCCATGCGGTTGCCCCTTCCCGTCTTACAACGCAGTTTTTTTTTTTTTCTCTCTACTGCCTTCTTCACATGGTACAAAAAATGCGCCTCTCCATTTTGCTACCCCTCACCTTTATGTCCTCATTCCGAATGAGCAGTTCCTTGAGGAGAATTTTCTTGTCGTCCAGGAGGTAACTCATCTTTTTCAAGTTCGCTCCAGTGTGCCACTCATATGGTCCTCTTAGCTACTGCCTTTTTTTTTCGCCCCCTTGGGCCCAATTTCACCGCGCACACGGAGGTGAGGACGGAGAGGGTGACTGACTTGGATGCGATCCAACGGATAGCACTTCCATCCCGCGTTTAAGTAAATATTGGGAAGGCCAAGTGGATCATTTTTTTTTTTTTTTTTTTACTCTACGACTACGTATTGCTTGCATGTACATGTTCTTCCCCTGTTAGGTCATAATAATATAACGTGCGTGAAAAAGACAGCCAAAGGGGGGAGAAAAAAAAAAAAAAAAAAAAAAAAACAGCGAACCAGGAATTGAAAACTTGTCAACGGTTTAAAATACCAGCGGGAATTATCAAGCAATTTATATTCGACATTTCTCACCATGCAGGGTTCATCAATTCGTTCTGGTGAGCGTTTCACGTAGGGACGTCCTGAGTTGCTGTTAGGGGAGATACACCCTACCATATGAAGCAGTAACGCCATGTCGTGTGCACCGTTTCCCTCAAATTTACACACATAAATGTAAATCACCAAAATGAGCGCTTAGTGTTACCAAGTGGGACGGTATTTGCTGCTCCTTAGGGAGCATAAAAAGAAAAGCAGCCTTGTTTGCGTTTACCAACCTCTCACGATTTGCCGTCTTAACGTTGTGAATGAAGAGACCCCTGGGGGGGGCAGACAAATGCGTCACACATAAAAACGTGCTAACAAGTAGAGAGGAATGAGGAACTATTCGGCGTTACCAGATTTGCATGCACTCCTTAGAGCAGACGCGACCAGATGAGCGCTCCACCGGCGGGGTGTAGGCCTGTCTACGTGTGTACCCCTTGGTATGGAGTAGCTGCTATAACAGTAGTAACAAAAAAGGGGAAGAAGAGGAGAAGGGACGAAAAACACCTCAGAGAACAACTTCAAACATGTGTCTCCCCCCTGAATGCTTTCCTTATGTTGGCAACATATTACCCAATGCGGAGGAACCTTTTGCCTTTTTTGAAATACCAAAATGGGAGGACCCAAGGGGGGTAGGTGGACCTCAAGTTATGTCCTCTTTGCGCGTTTTTCTTTTTTCCTGTTGTGATGACCCCCCTGTCGTACCCACCGATGTTGATTTACTCCCCCTCTTTCGAGTCCACCGGTATGAGCTTAACTGACGGGGCTGGATGCATATGTAAATGAAGCCTACCAACCATAGTATATAGCACTTAAAAAAAAGAAAAACAATCCCTAATTAAAAGCTGCACGTGGAGGACATTTACCTTAATTGTTGGGTCCTTTCTTGTGCAAAGCAGCACTACGGTGATATATGTATGTATTATGTCGGAGGAAGGTGAACCCTTCTATGAATAATTTCTACACCGCATATTTTTTTTTTTTTTTTTTTTTTTTTTTTTTTTTCCATTGCCACCTCCGCCACAAAAAAAGTAGCCCACTCAGAAAAACTCGACAAAGAAAAAAACACAAATGTAGCTAACCCTATTGAACGTTCGGATTGGAAAAAAAAAAAAAAAAAAAAAAAAAAAAAACGGGAACATGAGTTGGTCAACCATTCATGCGGCGTAGGAAACAAATCGACAAACTGGGGATCTGCTCTCATACGTATGTATAAGTATATATATACTTCGCTCGCGCGACATTGCAAATGCACAGATACACAACATTTACGTAACAATTTTGGAGTAATCCATTTTTCCACTACTCAACGGGTGGGTCAGATGATTACTATAAGGTGACTCCAACAGGGGATATAGCAACAGTATAAAAAGCAGAGAATACCCCCGTTTGAAAAACTCTTTTTTAAGAAGGCCGTTCAGGGAACAGAGCAGCGCATACGTGTATTCCTTCTTTTCTTTTCATACGGACCGAAGAAAACAGAACCATGCCGCTTACTGTGGGGAAGGCAGGTCCCGGGTCGGACTTCCGAAAGTTCATGGAGAAGCGACTGCAAGGTAAGTGTGCTGTTGTGGAATCACGCCGGTTGGAGGCGGAGTGCAAAAAGAGGGAAAGTCAAAAAGGGAACAATGGAAAAAAAGAAAAAATTAAAATAGCAAAACAAACTGGCCGAGATATGGATGCCAATGTGGCTAGCAAAGGACGCACCCCTCTCGGCTCAAACACACGCGCCAAAAAGTGGTTATGCCCTTTATTTATGAACATGTCCTTTCACATTCTGTATCCCCTTTTTGCAGTGTACCTAAATGGAAACAGACAAATCGTCGGAGTGCTGAGGGGCTACGACACCTTCATGAATTTAGTTCTGGACAACACGGTCGAGATAAAGAAGGAGGAACAAATTGACATTGGCATTGTCGTCATCCGAGGCAACAGCATTTCTTACTGGGAATGCCTGGACAGAGTTGACATTAAATAACGGCACGGTTAGGTAGTGCGTGGGGGAGGAAGAAGATGGCGAAGAGGTACACTTGTAAATTGCGTACCGCCTGCACAAGTGTAGTTATATGTTCATATCCATTGCTTCGCCTCCCCCCGTACAAACACAAGTTGGGACATCTCATTGTATATACCAATTCTCTAATTTTTTTTACACGCATGTAGTGAATCCCTATGATGAGTCGCTTTCTCATCAGGACGTGTCCACCCATCCGTCCAGCTTATTCCTTTTTTTTTTGTTTAATGTGACTCAGATTTTCCCATTTCTTCTTTATTTTCAACACAACCTTCTTGTTAATTAACCCCTTTTGAATTTTTGCCTTTTCATTTTGCAAAATAAAAACGCAGCAGTCGCATGTAGAAATGTACTCTTCTTCCCTGCAAAAAAAAAAAAAAAAATAGCTAATATTGTGTGCAAAAAAGGGGAAAACTTGCCTGACCACCTGAACAGGCCAGGTGATGAAAAAAAAAAAAAAAAAAGAAAAAGAAAAAACAGAAAGCATAAGCATGTGTGTGCAAGCCGGGGTTTTCCCTTTCATGAAGTTCTATTTCGCGCAGATAGGCTGTAGTTCTCTTTCTATTTCCTGGTTTCCCATTTTTTTTTGCTCCGGACCGACCTGCTCTCCAACAGTCTCGTCGAAAAGGTGTAAGAATTTCTCGCCAACAAAAAGTGAGCGGACAAGTGTGGAGACCCAAAGAGCAACTCGAAAAGGTAATTCTTGTCTTGCAGCATCGGGATAACCAGAAAAAACGTCAGCTCGTGCTCCTCCTTATTTAAGTGGTGCAAAATGTACACGATCACTTGGTTAATTAGGTACACATCGAACGGGGGGTTCACTTCGTAAGCTCCGCTGCGCAAAGGAAACTCAAAGAAGTTACCCGAGCTCCCGAAAAATGTATCAATGTCTGGGAAGAAGGAGCAGTAGGATGGCAAAATTGCGTTCAGGGGGGAGGAGAAGCACTCCCGTTTGATGTTCAGCTTTCTTCGCAGCAGGGTCATTATGCGCTTCGGCACGCAGCTCTTCCGAGGGGGGAGGACAGAGAAGGGGTATGTGTGTGTATATATATATACATATGTGCATGTATGTATACGCTTATGTGAGCATGCTGGGGGGAAATTTACTGAGGAAGGACGCGCACGTATGCATCCCCCCCAATCCGTTATAACTCTCACCCGACGTACCTGCAACCCCGAGTGGCGGACACTTCCAATCAATGTGTGGTATCGCATGATGAGGAAGAGAACCAGAAAGTTGAAGTAACGCACGAAAATGTTCTTTCGGTTTTTTATGAGCATCCCGATTTGCTTGTAAAAACAGTCATGAGTTGTTGCGTCTTCCGAGTGGGGGGTGCCGGAATTGGCAACCCTGTCCAGCACCAGGTACCTACCCAAGCACCCAGCGCAGACGCAAAACACACGGTTAAGGAGGAACGAAAACACAAGAGGATTTCTCGTATAAAAAAAAAAGCAGTACCTATAAAATAGCAGACACACATTTACGCACTTTATTTTATATGTCCTCCTTGTCCTGTAGTCCTTTTGATGAACGAAATAATTGGTCCCGTTAAATGGGTAGTACACATTTGGAGAATCACCCCCGTTTTTCTCCCCCTCTTTGGATCTTAAATTAAAAATAACGAAATCATTTTTTCTCTGAATGTAGAAACAGTCTCCTTGCAAGTGTTCATACATATTGTAGTTTTGAATCGGTGCACTTTTAAGCAACATGCGTATGTATGGACGGACATTCTTCCTGCGCTGCCTTTTTGTGTTTATTTTGCCGCATGCTGCTCTACTTATCGTTTGGGCAAGTGTGTTGCTTCTTCTGTGGAGGGCGAGATTGGATCCTCTGCTCACGTGCGTGGTGACCCCACCAAAGGTTTGCACATCCGCCGCGTTGGCCATTCGATACACCAACAGGAGCAGCCTCACGTTGATGTTCTTCACACAGTTTTGCATATACGAGGTGGTTCCCCTTAGCCTCCTCTTTGCGATTGCACTGCTTCCACTGCGTGTGCATAGCAGGTACACAGCTCGATCGAACTTCCATGCGAGGTAATCCTCAACGGGTTTGCAAGGACGTCCCCGTTGGTATTCTCCGGAGAGATGTCTTCTTATACGTGTAGTGGACGTCACTGTGTGTGTCGTCGCGTATAACGCTTCTCTTCCCTTACGACTCATGCACTTTGGTGAGATGCCCGCCCTTCGAAGTGTAAGAAACGAGTGGACCATGCACAAATAAAAATACATGTTCATACGCACGATGCTCTTTTTATATAAGGCATTCAATAAGGGACGTAAGAATGCCTTCAAATTGTCTAAGAATATTTTCTCTTCACTAAGCAGGTATTCATGTAAAAGGGTAGCCTGGGGGAGGACTCCTTGTTTGTCTTGTAACTGATTGGATAAACCTAGTGGGTGCGTTTTTTTTACTGTACTATTTACACCCCCTTTTTTGCTAATCCGGTTTGAAGAGTTGTTCTCCTTTGCTGTGTTTCCTCCGAAGAGCCACCTGACCGATTGGCCTCCTCTCCCACTTGGTGGTGGCACACAATACAATTCGCATGGAGGTGAATACATAGCACAATTGCACGTGATATATATTTTTTTTTTTTTCCCCTTTTGGCAGTCTACATTAAGGGGATTACTCCCCTTGGGATTTATGAACTGATCGAGGTGGCCTAAAAAGGATTCCGTCCTGTTTAACCGTTCGAAGCAACGTTGGAAAATGCGCTCGACGTTGTGGCGCCTGGGCCACTTCTCCGTCTTAACCGAGTTCATTTCTTCCCCCTCCCTCACTTTGCGCCGCTTCCGAGTGTTATGTCTCCTCCATGGATAGTAGCAAAGGGGAGAGTGGTGATGGGTTCCTTCATCTCGTTTTCCCTCTTTATATAATATACGCTTCAATTCCCCCTCGCGGGGCATACACGCACTGTTCACGACGCTGTTAAAGTAAAGACTCAAAATGGATTCCTCCTGGTCGACAGGCTTGACGTAACTTTTCCTCAAGCTATCCAACACGAAGAAGACTAACCATTTTTTTTTCTGCAGTGGGGTCATATTTTTGTTCCTCCTTAATGCTTCGTACAAACAGAGGAGACACCTGGGGGGGTCATCACTACATCGGTCTGCATACTCAACATTATGAGTTTCGTCTTCTTCAATATTGCATTGCTTCGGAGTAGTTGCTTCAAACGAGCAGGACAAATGACCTACTCCCATTTTACAACTCCCCAAGGGGATGTTTAAAAAAAGGAAATAAAAAAGAAACACAGGGAAGAGGTACCCAAGGGGCAGATGCTCACACAGGGGAGAAATATTCACGGCGGTCATGTGGAGCAGCTTCCTCACGTCTTCCTCCAGCACGTTGCGGAAATTATTTAGGAGCAAAATTAACTCGTCCCTTGTCTTCACACTACTATATTCATGCACTGGTGTGAAAAACACCTGCAGACATTGCACAATGGCACTGTGGGTCGGTTCACTCGTGTCACAAGAGCTTTCTTCCAAGTGGGACTTGGCCCCCGAGAAGACCGCCTCCTCCCCACAACAATGGCAATCGCTAGAAGTGCCCGCCCCCAACAAGTTGCATTTAAATTGACTGCTTTTACTCACCAGGGAGCTGAAAATGGAATTTAATGAATTTTCATATAACTGGCCCAGAATATATTTTCCAACGGCGTGCTTGACTTTTGCCACGTTCACTTTCAGTTGGTGCGTCCTGAATTTGAGGCTAACTCTATGTACACTGAGGGGGGATGATCTTGTGCTCTTCCTGTGCAGGGACAAATTATACGTGGGGTGTTGTGGACAAATGGAGAGCGTCATCATGCAGTGTGAAGAAATTTTGCTGCTGCTACTCCTCATACGTTTGCAATTCCCTTTTTGGTGATGACCATGTTTGTGATTGCCAACGTGCATGCTGTGGTAACGGAGGGACGTTCCCCATGAGGAGTTTTTTTCCCTCCCCCTGTGCCTCGTCTTTCTCCTGGGGGCAAAGTCCAATCTCTGCACATACTGCTGTAGAAATGTGAAATGGGGATTCGCCCTGTGCCGCTTCACAAGTGGTGCGATGAATGCACAAAATTGCTTAACGTATCGGGCGTCGCAGAAAAGGGGAGCAGTGTCCTTTGTGTGGTCATTCATACAACCAATCGTGTTTCCCTTCCGCGAACCAACATGGACGCGCCGCACGAACCGGACAAACAACCAATAAAGATAAGTGTCATTCGCGTCAAATGAAAAGTTAGACTGATCAATGTGCAAGCTGAAGAGAAACCTGTTCATAATTTCCTTCTCGAGGAAACAGACTTGTCTCTTTAGCTCCACTCCCTCCTCATGGTAATGCTGTCCCTTCATTTGATGTGCCTTCAAAAACTTGCGGTTAATACACCTTACCCTTTGTCGCATCGTCCTTCCACGAGGATTCCTTTCTCCTTCCTCCCTATCCCTTCTTTTTATCATGTTCAAGTATTCATTTTTTATTTTTAAGTTTTTTTTATAAAATAGCTCCAAGGTGTATACATTTAGAAATGCCTTTCGCAGTTTCATGATTTCCCTTTGGAAGGTCAGCTCCTTGTGTAGGTCCAGCCGACGGCGGGGCGAACCAACCGACTGTTGGGTCATTCTCTCGTGCACGGTTCATGAATGTAGAGTAGTGTCGCGTACGCTTCAACAACGTGCAGTACCTGTTGTGGGTGCAACACAAGTGGACGGTGAGCCCCTCCCCCCAACTACCAGATAAGTTACTCTCCTACACCGGTCCATAAGGACCCCTTCAGAAAAAAAAGTACGTCCAGGAAATATCCTTCCAACTGGTAGGGTGTTATTTAAAAGGATAATACCATTGCCGCTTTCACAAAAAAAGGCAGGTTAAACAGGGGAAAGGCGTATATATCCCTCGTGTGTTACCCGTTCAAAGCACTTCTCATCACCACAACAATGCGCATTGCAAATGAGGGGGAGAGAAATGCTCTTTATAGAAACGCCACCCATATGATCATGGACTCCGTTACGAATAAGTACCGCTTGTTAATCCTCTTCAAGAAAAGGAAGCTTTGGTTACGTTTTGCAAACACGTGCAAGATGCCACAGCTTATTCGGCTCAGTTCGCTTCTACACATTGTAGATAAGGGTCCCGATTGGCACAGCAACAATTGAAGGCGACTTCTCCCTCCTCATAGAATTTCGTGCAGCCCATAAAAACAGGTGCGTCATCCCGTCCTACACCTTCAACATTACATGACGTCTTACAGGTGGGAGAGATCCACTCGGGGGTTCACAGCAATCTCGTTACATTGGCATAGCAGTAGACCGCGGGTAAGAAAAAACACTCTGGGGGACATTTTGACTCGGGTGCTTACGCTCAGCAGTATGTGGCGTTAGGGAGAGACCTCCCGGAGGATACAACTGTGAAGGGGGAAGAGGGATGAGTTATGACCCTTTTTGCAACGTTGCGCGGTGTGCTGGCCCCCACATGAGCAATTTATAATTATTTAAAATATACATTGCGGTGCCTCATTAACAGCACATTCCTAATCTCGACCTCTTTTTTGTGGTGTGCCGCTTAACTTTTCTGTACACCCAGCAGAATTGTTTAAAAAGGAATTTTTTTTTTTTTTTTTTTTTTTTTTTTTTCCCTTTTCACTGGAGTAATTCGCCCAAAGTTTTGTTGTGTTGTTTTTTTTTTGTTCCCCCCTGCTTGGTCTCGAGGCCCCCCCCCCCCGGCCCATCCCTTTCACGCACGAAGCCATGGCGGATAAGTACGTGTCAGGCTACCCCCCGCCACCGTACTACTTCCAAGAGTATGTAGATGTGGGTGACGAGGTGGGCCAAGTGGAAGATACGGAATGGGGACATCACGCACAGAGCGGCCACTTCTTAAGCAGCATAAAGGAGCAATACCAAATTTATGACATTACGGAGAATGCCCATGTGCAGGACCAAACGGATGGAAATGAAAAGTATAATAAGCACACGTGCCAACTACTCATGGGGAGACCCCCGCCAGTGCCCCTCAGAACTAATTATAACGTATTTGGTATTAACCACCAAGTGCAAAGAAGAGTAGAAGACTTAGAGAGTGACGAGTTGTTATATGCTGAGCACAAAAATTTGAAAAATGAATTTATTAAGCTTTTTAAAAAATATAAAGAATCCTTTTTTGAACTGTTTGAAGACATTGTAAATAACAGACGAGATGATAAGACGAAAATAAAAATACTCATTAAGGTCCACGTAAATTTATTTCACATTCTGGCCAAGTTGAGATACTACCAGAGTGTTAATAATGTTATTAACATTTTGAAGGTCCAACTGAAGAGACGGCAGATTGCCATCGACAAGATGAAGTTAAGCCTACTTCGTATTTATTCATATATAAATTTTGTGCAGGACAATTTCTCCGCCACTCGTGCCATTGCGGACGATGAGGAGGGAGCCAGTCCCAAACGGAAGAGAAAGCTGACCGCGCTGTAGCGTGCTTGTATGTGTATGTGTGTGTGTTTTTTTTTTTTTTTTTTTTTTTTCACGTTTCTCCTTGTAGACTTCTTGCGGTGTGTACCCCCGTCCGGAAATGATGGAACATTTGAGCACGCGTGGGGTGGAAGTTATCGCCGTGCTGCCAGTCAGTTGGCATGTCCTTTTTGCGGCATCGCCGTATTACGCCTTTTACCTGTCTCGTCGTGTAGGTGTGGCCGTTTTGTTCTCTACTCTTCTCTGTGCGCTTCTCTATTCGCGCGGGGGGAGCTCCTCATCGGGGTACTCCGCATGGTCTCCATCGTCGTCACCATCGCAGTTATCATGACTGTTGTCGTCACTGTTGTCGTCACTGTCCTCGTCGTGGGCTGCTTCTTCGCCCATTTCTCCTCGGTCGTTTTCTAAAAAGGTGAAGGAGGGGTGCGCACATGAGGGGGGGGTGACAGAGAAACGCAAAAATGCACGCGCAACGCAAATGAGCCTGTACAGCTGAACCATGTCAACGCCGCTTAATCACATTTCAAATAATTCCTACCGGCTGCTCCCAGCCCGAGAGCGGACAACGCCGAGCGTCCCTCCAAGTAGTCGTCGTCGTTCAGCATTTCCTCCAGGATGCCCCCCACATCCGTGGCAACGTCCCCGTGCGCGCCGTCCACAGAGTCCTCAACATTAAAGAGGTACTCATATTTAACAAATTCAGGCAGAGGCTCATTGCAGGAAAATTTTGTCAATATGAAATTCTTGTAGGGGTCTTTCTTCTTAACCTTGAGAGCACCCTTCAAATCACTACTCCATTTCCACTCTTCTATATTTTTTTTTAAAGCCTCTTTATCGAAAAAGGCGAAATTATTTCTCCTTTTCTTTTCCTTCCAAGTTATGTCCCAATTCTTAACCTTCTCTGGTATGGGCGCCACAGAATTGTCTGGAGTAGCACAGGTAGGAAGCCACTTCATTTTGTGTGGATACGTTTTCAATTCGTAAATTAAATTTTGTAATGCTTTATATGTGAAGACAACATACCGATATTTCAACAAATTATAAATATTTACGCCCTGAACATTTTCCCTTTTAACGCTAGCTATATTTGCACACGCCCAAAAAAAATTGTCATTAACATCCGTTTTGCCTTCATGGACAAGCAAGGCGCTGTTGCAGTTGTTCCCCAAAATATTTCTTAAATATTTCACAGCATATTTCGTTTTGTGGGATTTGATTAAAAAATTGTCCACGACTTTTATTTGGTCCTGTGCAAATTTGGCTGATAAAATAATTTTCATTCCCTTCCACAAAAGTTTTCTGTTTATTTTGGTCCTCTGGTCGAATGGCCTGAGGGGATGGTTTTTTACTCCCAAATACCGCCCACACGTTTTTCTCCAATTCATTCTTGCTTTTCCACTTTTTTTTTGACTTCGATACTTTTTCGTGCTGCCTGGCCACTCCCATTTGTACAGTTGCATTCGCTCTGTGTACCCTGCCAGGGCAGTTCTGTAAAAATAATAACACTTGTGTAGTATATCCGGCCTGATGGGCAACCCGAATATGTCATTCGGCACACTCACATATTTTATGTTTTCGTCATCAGGGCCACATTCAAATTTGTAAATAGGAATTTCTAACTTGCTATTAAAACCCACCGCTGGAAAGGTCCAATTGTTTCTTAACAGAGTTTTTATATCTATTATGCATCCTGGTCTCCTCACCACTGGCTCGTCATCTACGTGTGCAAGGTGCTTCGGTCTGTCGAAGATGAATTTGTATTCTTCTGATACCGCTTTTTCGTTAACACGATCAAAAGTGTCTTCTTCACCCACGGGGACCTCCCCTACATAGTCCACGGCACCATCACAGGTGGTATTCCTTGTCCGCTCCACATGAAACCGTTCCTGTCGTTGTTCCATTCCCTCCAAATGGATGTCTGCGTTTTTTCCTTTTTCCACTAAATCGCCTGAACAGGTCATAATTTTTTTTTTTTTTTGGCAGCTAGCCATTTCTTCATTTTGTGTGTGCAACTCCTTCAGTTTCGTTGTAAAGCGGAAGGTCCTCGCTTCTCGCCTTTGCTCGGCCGCCCGGGCCACGGTCTTCGCGACCCTTCGGCCGAGGCCCCCCTGGCACAGTTTCAGAAACATCGTGCTGCGTTTTTCGCAGAGGGGAAAAAACGGAAAAAAAACGAAAAAAAGGGCAACAACAGGAAGAAAAACAACAAAAAAAAAATAATCACGTTGGTATATACGTACGAGTATGCATATGCACATGTGCACATAAGCATGTGCGTGTGGTCGCGCAAGAGTTACGTGGGAGCGCCTTCCACCCATATAATGCTATTTTTTCTGCGTAATCACAGCACCTGTGGAGCGAAACCGCCTAGTGCAACTCCACTCACAGTAACGTCGACAGCAAGGCTCATTTAGGGCGCGGCCGCCATCGCACACCAGTTTGGATTTTCAAAATTGCCAGAATGGCCAAAAGTGTACAAGCGAGTTGAAAACAAATTTGATTAAAACGCAGCGGCTTGTACAAAGGGCATACAAACGTATGCACGTACATATATACATTTGTAAAACTCAGCCTTTACGACTTACACGATAAATGGCGTAACAGAAGAAACACGCTGCCTCTCCGCGAAGGAACAAACACCTGCGCCATGTTCACAGTCATTCGGGGGCAAATGTAAAGAGACAGACACTCAACACCATGGTGAGCCTTTTCCAAATTCACAAAAGGTTCATGTACTGGCCTCCAAAAAATAAAATAAAAACCATAAAGGTGAGCACATGCTTGTATGCAGGACGTTTTGTGCGTTTGCATATATCGATGTTTCATCTCTACACACACACACACACACGCATGGGCACATAAACAGATCATTCACTTCGTTTGCTATCGCGACAATGCACGTGAACATTCTACATTAACGCTTTTATATTTTCATGCCCGTAAACAACCCCCTCCCCACTGCCTCATTGTGTTAGTTCCCCTCCGGGAAGAAGAGCTTCATTTTTATTGGCAAAAGGGATGAAGATGGGAAGGACGAGCCGCTCCTATGCTTTGTCGACAAGTGAGAGAGAAAGAAAAAGAAAAAAAACGATTCAGCGAAACTACCAAATGTAGATGTTTCGCATGATTATCCAACGTAACGCTTGTGCGCAGAGGTGGTGACGGTGGACTTAACCTGTGCCCACTCACACATGTCGTCTCCTTTAACCCTAAAACTTGACGCAGCCAAAACCATAAGCTGACTTGGATGAACGAAGAGGAGGTCCTGAATTTGGAAAAGCTGGTAATGCGCTTATGCACACGGGACTGTGCGAGCAAAGGAGGGTCCCCCCAACACATGCATATGTACATGCTGTTCTGTACAAACACATGCCATCACAATACACCAGCAGACAACGAAAACTTCTCGTCCCTCCATGTAGATGCCGCGACTGGACAGCTACTTCTCCCTCTACTTGGAAAAAGCCAAAAAGGTCAAAGAGCAGAATGCAGTCCTTAATGAAGAAATGAACAGATCCTTACATGATTGAAAAAAAAAAAAAAAAAAAAAATACCACATGAAAGTGGGAAAACAGGGGAGCACACCTTCGAAGCTTTTATTAGCATTTACAACATCCCATCAACGTTTCCTTTATATATATATATATTTTCTTTCTTCTTCGTTGCATTCCAAATGGGGGTTTCCCATCAAGTGTAAATCAAATTGAAGGGGCGCCTCAAAGTGCCTGCCACAAGTATGCCTGAACATATATTTAAATTAACACCTGTTTTGTTTAATATAACAAAAAAAAAAAAAAAAAAAAAAAAAAAAAAAAAAAAAAAAAAAAAGGAAAGATAAAGAAGGGAAGCACACACGAAATGGTAAAAAGGACGATTAGGATTATATTCGAATGAAAAAAAAAAAAAAAAAAAACATGCACATGGATATATGTGGGGACGTGTGTTTGTGTATTTTGTGGCACACATAACAACACAAGTCTGGTGAACTAAAAAAAAGAAAAAAAAAAAAAACTGCACACATGGTGAACTGAATAAATGAACAAATGGGTAAACCCTTAATAGATATAAACATGCAAACAGTTTTTTTTTTTTCCTCCTGTTCTTCACATTTTCGCTTTATATGAGTACAGGGAGAGTTAGACCCCTAAATCAGCCCAGGGGGATGGAAAAAAAAAAAAAAAAAAGTCTTCCTGCGTACATTGGTATATACACCCACACGTGCGTGCGTGCATGCGTGTTTTTTTTTTTTTTTTAAATTTTGCTAATAATGTGCAGTATCACTACGGTCGCCATGAAGATCAGCGTTGAGATAAGGACCGTTTGGGGGGTTCTACAAGGAGGGGGGGTGCAGGGGGATACATGAGTCATGGCGCAAGAGTGCATCAGCGTGATGGTACACATGCACACGGTTTATATGTACGAATGATGAGGTGGCGGGGGCGCGTGAGAGACAAACGAACATGCAAAATGACATGAACACCATGGGAATATAACGACGGAGTGCTTGGGGATGCGCCGAACGCATATGCGCGGGTACTCCCCAAGAGAGCACTGTCGTGCAAGCGCCTTGTTAAACGCCCCGCTGAATGCATTTCATTACAATTTAAATCCTGGTGAGTCATCTCCATAAAACTTAACGATGCTGTTGGTACTTCCTCCGTTACTTCCTCTCGGTTTGCCATTGTGCGATTGAGATCCTGTGCTTTGTCTTCGTCTGTCATGGGGACAAAAAGGCACATACATTTATGTTGCGAGTGTTTTCTTTTATACTTCATAAACACCCAATTAGGAAATTGTTTCCCCATGGGGGGTATATGTGTGTCGTGGGTTCTCACACTTGCTGTGATATATCATCAGCTCGCTAACCTGGCGGGTGTCCTCATGCCACCGACGATAACAGGTGACGCATTCATTTTGCACAAGTGGTTAATATATATATATGGGGAGGGGGGGTTTGGTCTGCACGGAGAAATGAGGAGTGGGAAAAAAAAATGCCGAATGAGCTCGAAAAGCAAGTGCCCGTAGGTGGTACGCACATGAACACAATAGCCCATGTGAACAATAATATCAGTGCCATTAACATCGCAAGCATGGAAAGGTCATCGCCCTACTAATGTAATGGTATATTTCCCCGGCAAAGGGGGCGAACAAAAAAAAGCTCTCACTTGTTCCAAATTTTTGCCAACCTATAATAAATGGGGATCAATTGCTTCTCGTTCTCCTGTGTTCCCTAGTTCTCTTCGTTTCGTATCAGCCGACGTGAAGAGGAGTGGTTGGAAAGGATTCAGGCGGGTGGAGGCAGATGAAAGCGACAAAAAAAAAAAAAAAAAAAAAAAACTGCTGTTCGTTCGCGTTCCCCTTGTTATGGCTTGCTTGGTCACTTTTGGATCGTGTCGCGTTTTGGCTCACGCGCTGGTTCGTTCGTGTTTCCTATTTCTCAATTTCGTTTGATGGAATTTTCCTGTTGTGCTTATGGGCTATTTGTAATTGTTTGTTTGTTCGTTTTTTTTTTTTTTTTCTTTTATATATAAAGAAGTATATAATTCTTTTTTTTTTTTTGTTTTTTTTTTTTCCTGATCATACAGCATGCACTTGATCAACTCGCGCAGCCGCTTTGGGGTCGCTCCTTCAAATGAACGAACACGGGGAGGGATACATAATGGAAGGCTTTTATTGTATTTTTTTTTTTTAAAAAAAAGGAATGCCACATAGAGGATTCCCCACATGACTCACAAAAAAAATTAATCACGCAGTTTTAAATTAAATTGTGAGGAAAACAAAAAATGCCCCTTTTTGCGCGTAACACAAAAGTACGACTCCTGTTTCAAAAGGGCCACATTGATATACATTTTTGCATGAGTGCAAGACGTACACATAGGGGTGGGGAAGTATGCAACAACAAAAAAAAGCTAACGCATATCCGACGCTGTTTTTCTTTTAATGAGTGCCTACTGACTTGTACGTCGACATCGCATTCGAATTCTCATTGGCATATTTGTTTTTTTTCCTGTCCCCGCTCAAGCGCTTGCTTAATGAACTTCACTCGTCGTACCCGTTGCTTGTCACGAAGCAGCAATATACTTGCAGAGCGTCTTAAAGAGTTTGCACATATAATTTGAGAACAAACGGAATGGGGAAGCGAACCCTTTTTTTTTAATTCCCCCCTTTACATTCCATTTGCGCATTCACGCACAGACCGAAAAGAGTTGCACAACGTTGCAAGACGTTGCAAAGACGCTGCAAAAACACCTTACCCGTTTTCTCAAAATGGGAAGAACTTTTTTTTAAACGTTTATTAAAATGGATGCAAGTTACTTACACGTTGGGAATAGAAAGAGAGAGAGAAAAAAAAAAAAAAAATGGAAATAAAAAGATGGAAAGATAATTGGAGAGAAAAATATGGTCCAGTAGAAAGCGGCCCACTACAGTGCGGCCCTGTAGAGAACGACACAGTGGAGAACACCCCGCTGAAGAGGAGTAAATTAATGCAGTCCGCTGGGCGGCGTATCAATAGGGGGAGTTACACACGTATAAAAAGCATTCCCACGGCAGGGCAAAACGATACGCGCCGTATGGCAGCACAACTGCTGATCGTTCGCAATTCATATTCGGCAGACATACATCGCCACGCGCTTGTGTGTGTGTGTACTTGGCTTGTCCTGTAGGGACGTGGCCCTGTCCTCTGTTGGTTAATTGTTCAGTTGAAAATATTTAAATTCGTAAGCGAACTTTCCCTTGGCAATGACTCTCAAAAAGTCTCGAATTTGATGCATCTTCAGGTACTTCTTCGCCAAGTACTGCAGGGTAAAAAAAAAAAAAAAAAAAAAATGAATAACGTGCACGTATGTAAACGAATATACTTATATGCATATGGAAAGTCTACTGCCGCACACCGGGGTCGCTCGTTCGAAAGCCTTACCTTTATGTAACGTTTAGAGAAGGGGACGTGAACCGTGATGTAAATTTTGCAATCATCTGAGGTCACCACTATTTTATTCTTCAGGTTGTTGGTCTTTTTATCTACCTTAATTTTGTCCTTAAAAAATTGTTCCTGTGATTGAGATTAGGGGGGGGGGGAGAGGGAATATAATAACACGGCGATGGGATTTAATATATATATCACAAGGGCGCTCCTCTCATCCCGCATCTTTCCACAACGGCACAAGGGGCCAGGGGGGAAGAGGCAGGGACAGCGGCAGGTCTCGACCGCCATGTCAATTGACGAGGTCGTCTCGTACGAACACCAGGTTCCACATGTATGTAACGCGCGTCAACTCATTTGCATTTTATTATAGAGTGGAAAATTTACCAGTCCGCTAATATCAAGGATGGTATCCTTTACTGGCTTGGTACAATCTAGGATGTACTTAACTCCCTTTGTGCTTTTCATAGCCTTGGGTTTTTTCACAGCTACGTGACTCTTCTTTCCATTTTTCTTCTTCTGCTTTTTTACAATTTTAGATTCCTTCTTGGCTACCATTTTTTTTTTTCTTTGATATTTTATTCAGGGGAAAATTCAACCAGTACGTGTAGTAGTCAAACAAGATGTATCAGTTCTCTTTTTTTTTTTTGTGTATGACGGACTTCTCCTTTTTTGCAGATGCGAAAAGGCAGTGGGAGGATGAAGTTATATAAATACGCTAACTTATTTTACAAATAGTGAAACCTCACAGGTACGGTATGTGCTTCTTTACTCTTTTTTTATATGTATCACGTTAACATGTACGTATGTATGTATTTATTTTTTTTTTTTTTTTTTTCCAACGTTTTGGCTTTTAAAAATTGTTAACATCAACGAGGAGCAGCAATTCGCTTTTTTTTTTTTTTTTTTTTTTTCCCTTTTTGTTGTTATTATTTGTAGGCGTGAAGAGGAAAACCGCGTGGTCAATTATTATGTCCAGTTAACGTGCCCAAAATTAATATAAAAAAAAAAGTAAGTGATATAACGTTGTGGGGGTGGTAAAAAAGGGGCATAAAAAAAAATTGTGTCAACATAGAGAGCGCCAAAAGGTAGTGTCAACGTTGCGTCATCACATGACGAAATGTTCCTCGAAAGTGCCTCCTATATGTTTTGCCTCCGAGGTGGGGGGGTAAAAAAAAACCGGGGAATAACCCATAAAGGTGTCGCGTTATATATATATTTTTTTCCAGGCCCAAATAGCACAAATTGACGATGCGCTTTTTTACTCGTTGCCTGTAGTACGCCCTACCCCCCTCAGGCATACGGGGCCAATGTATGCATATATCAGGCATATACAAAAATGGGTGGCACGTTCTTGGGGGGGAACAAAAAAAAGGGTTGAGGCGCCGCCTTGGTTTATGGTGACTTCCCCAAAGAGGTGTAGCACGCTGCTTTTTTTATTCGACCCGGCGCGTTCAAATAGTAACATTTTTTGTTTTTTATTACCCCTCCAAATGGGGGCTGCACAGGGGGCATTTTACTTCCTATATCCGTACATCATCCACCTTGCGGGAAGGAAGGAAAAATTTGTAGAGTCGTACATGTTGCTGTTTTCTTTTTGTCCCCTCAAATGAAAATCAAAATTGGAAAATTTTCAAAAAAAATGTAGCGAAACAATTCCCCGTGGTGAATTACCCCTCCCTTGTGTGAATAGTAACGCAAATGAATTATTCACTCGAGAATTGCAACAACGGGTAATTGATGACGACGCTTCTCTGCCCAACATGTCGCCAGTTCAAATGAACTTATCCTTAACAGGGTACCCAAGGATACTTTCCTTAGAGGAGACACGCTGGGGAAAAGTATATAACTCAGTGAGGTGTTAAAAGTGCAACGAGGGTTCACTACCCGATGGGTATTTCTCCTACGCTTGTTTTTTGTCGCGCCCCATCCAAAACGAAAAGGCAACCAGGTGGCACACCCATATTTGTGCGGCGAGATTGTGCACCGCTCGAAAAAGCCTTCTGTCCATTTTGTAGCCTTTTTAAGAAAAAAAAAAAAAAAATGGCAAACTACGTAGGTAGGACTTTTGCAGAGGACAGATTAAAACGAGTTGTTCCAAAAAAAAACTTCTTTTTAAAAACAAAAAAAAAAAAAACAAACTAAACGGGGGTGCCCCCCCAAGACGGTAAGGGTCTCATACCCCCATGCGGGGAATAAAATCACAAAAAAGGGTTTTTTCCACGGGTGCTGTGCCGTGTGCGCAGCGTTGGACACAGGGCGTCCGGTGCCCGGCGGGAACTGCCCACCCTAGGGTTGAATGTGTTATCGCGTTACGGCGTTACCGCGCCACCGCTTCCACATCTACGCGGCTAAAACTTCATCTGCTTGGCGTTGCCTGGGACGACAAAGTACGGAGGCAGATTCTTCGTGGTGACGGACAGGGGGCACAAAATTTCTATCAAGTAGTCATTTTGCGTGTCCACATTTCCCTGCGCCTCCTCAGCGCCCTTTTCGCACCTGTCCCTATCCTCCCCCACCTCCGCCTCGATCATACGCACACTCTGTACATGCACAAACGCAGCTATATTCATGAGATGTACATAATGAAGGTCCTTCGAGTAGGACACTCCCAAAATGCAGTGAGTCAGGTTACTTATATTTCCATTATACAAACTGACCGTAACGTTTTCCCTTTGAATGTCTCTTGCATCTGCTGGTAGCGCCGACAAAGGCACAGCCAAATTGGTGTCTAATTTAATGAAGTTGGTTAAGCTATACTTGAAGGAAATGACGTGGCTCTTCCTGTACAGGTTCTTCGTAACAATAATATCTTTAGTAAAATATTGGTAGTACCACATATTTTTACAATACCTTACTCGGTTATTATCTGATGGGATCACTCCCTCGTACTTGGGCATGCCTACAATTTCTACTCGCCTGACTGGATCCTCCGTGTGTTTGTTGTCGTCTCCCGCTTCTTCCGTAGCGGGCATGCCGGACACAGCGCTTGGCGTACGGTGCGCTTCGGCGAGAGAGTCTCCCCGCGAATCGCGGTCATAATCGCGCTCATAATGGCGGCGATAGTCTCGGTCAAAATCTGCACCGCCCTCCCGGGACAGGACCCGCCCCCGGTCCGTGCCGCGTCGACTAGCCTCATCCCCGTACTGGTCCTTCAGTGAGTAATGCAAAAAAGCATTATCAATCACAATGACGATATTTATGCCGTATATTTCAATCAAGTTGTTAATGACATGGTGGTCGGCTTCCGAGGGAACGTTTAAAATGAAACCCGCGGCGTAAATGCCCTCCTGTTCTCCATCCGTTTTGGCACTAGACGAGACGTAATTCAAATTGTTCAGCAGCATCAAGTGAACGCAGCTGCTTATGCACTCATTCAAGTGGTAGTACAAATTTATGTCTTCATTGAGGTCGAGGTAGCCAAAGTAATAGTCTAGTGCACACTTCATCCGGTTCATTGGGTCATAAACAAAGGAACTTATAATCCCAGGTCCCCTGTTCAATTCAACCTTGTCACAAGTACACTTTGTATCTGCTTCAATAAAAATTGGTTTGAATCCTGACTTTAATGCATAATTGAGGAGTATTAATGAAACGGAACTTTTTCCTGAGTTGTTATTTCCTGTAATGAGAACTCTGGGTCCAATTTTTTTTTTTTTTTTGGCTAGCTTCCTGTAGGCATCCAGAGTATACGATAGGGATAAGTACTCCTTCATTGTGTTGTTGCCACTTTCATACTCCTGCAACGTTCGACCTTTTATTTGAATTGTGCATCCTGTGAATGTATAGATGGCAAATTTTTGGTTACACCCAAATTTGTATTCCTTATCAATGATTAACTCTCTTCCAAATATTTCCGCCGTGCTTGAGACACTGCCACTGCTGTTGTGCTCGCTTTTGTGTCCTACACCACTGCCGCTCGGCAATAAACGCACTTTAACGCATTCTTCATCATCCTCCTCCTCACATTTGGTATACTTTTCCAGGGTCACTATTCTTAACTCTCGGAAGGCCTTCAAGTGATAAATCCGTGTGTTTCCGGAGTTGGCCATTTTTTGTACTCTCCTTATTTTCTGCAAACAGGGTTTAACTTCTCTAACTTGGGCTTACTTTTTCCCCATATGACCGCGTTTTTTATTCTGTTTTTTTTTTTTTTTTTTTTCTTCTTCTCTTCCTCCCATGGTTATCTCCCCTGTCGTAGGTAGTGTACCACCTTTATGGGGGACGGGAAGGGGCTTCAACCTTTTGTGTTATATCCCTTCCTTGATGCGCAATTTTTTGTAGCAGGAGTGTATAAATGTAACATAACCACTGGTGTATGTTTTTGCGCCCTTTTGTGGCCACCCCATGCAACGGCTAGCCAATTTTTTTTTTTTTTTTTTTTTTTTTTTTTTCAAAAAAGTTATGAACCGTTCAGGCGAAAGAGAAAAGTTGCATTTCCCATCCTGCAATTTTTTTTTTTTTTTTTTTTTTTTTTTTAACACCCAAATAGCGCCGCTGCCGTTATCGTTGCAGCTACCATTATCATTACCATTACCGTTGCTTGTTTCCCTTTGAGTAGAAATCGTGCCCTTAGTTGTGGTCTGCACTGGATGGGCAGTTACTCTCCCCTCGTTATATTTGTTACGCGGCTCTTTGCACTGGCAATTTGTCCTACCATGGACTTCTTGTCCCATGTTCCTGCTTCACTTTTTTTTTTGTACCCCCTAGCGTGAAAGATAATTCTCTTTGAAAAGGTCGCCCCTACGATCTCGCGTATTTTGGGGGGGAAAAAGGAAGAAACCACGTCTGGTATAGAGCAATTATATATATGCATAAAATGGGTGACTTTATTCTTTTTTTGCCATTTTTGTAGCATAACATTACGTCGTTTCCCATTTCACCATTTTGCGTGCCCCCCAAGACTGACCGCCTTGGTCGAACTCGCCGAGCAAACGTTTTGCCCTATCCATTCTGTTTTCCGCCGGTATAGGGGAAATAAACGGGACAGCATGTAACTTGGAGCCGAGTAGGCGTCTACCCCCCACAACCAGCCTGCGCAGTGTATATAGAACGGCGCGTCCCCCTGTCACACTTCCTCTCCCACATTGCTGCAAAACAAAGATGAGCACGCCCGAAAGTGAAGTATCACCCCCGCCTGCAGAGGAAGACAAGAAGGAGAAACGAGTAATCATCATTCTTGAAGGGGCCCACTTGCAGCTAATCGAAACGAAGAGGTACATTTACGAGCTAGCCAACAGCATGAAACATAAGCACTTGTTAAGAGACACAAAAAAGGAAGAAGAGATAAGAAACTTCAGACCAGACATCCTACACCAGTGCCTAATTCACCTCCTAGAAAGTGCACTAAATAAATATGGCCACTTGCAAGTGTACATAAAAACACATGACAACCAACTATTCTTTGTCTCATCGAATTTAAAAATTCCAAAAACGTATGACCAGTTCGAATCCCTAATGGTCACCTTCTTAAGAAAATATAAAATAAAAGCGAATGAAAAAAATTTGTGCTTGCTAAAATTTCTGAAAAATGACTATAACGCTATTTTACCAATTAATGGAAAAAAAATTGGCTTGTCTGTAAAAGGGAGGAAAGTAAATTTGCCTGACTATGTTCAGAATTTCCAGAACGAAAATGTACCAATCACATTTTTTATTGGAGCAGTGGCCTACTCCAATCCGATTACCAAGCTTGAAAATTTAGACGACAACATTAGCATTTCAGAATTCAGCCTTAGTGCAGCCACATGCTGCTCCACCATATGCTCGGAGTTTGAGAATCTGTGGGGCCTCTTCTGAAAGATCGCTGCGGAACATTTTAATCAGTGGAGCGCCCATATGCTCACGGCAACACCGCTATGTGCGGTTTCTCCATTGTTAAACTTTTTTGTTCATTTTTTTTTAATTTTTTGCGTCTATGCAATATAGGACATTGAGCGCACGTACCGATCGGCACGGCTCACACATTTGCAAAGGAGAGCAAACATTTTTATTTGCCCCACCTGCAAATTATAAATGGGTCGTATAAAAATGTTGAAATTTGCTTCTTTTTATTTGAATTTTTTTTTTTTTTTTTTATATTTTCCCGCACAATCTTGTGTTGTTCCTCAATTCGAGAATCTATCTTCCATTCAAACTTTGTTTCAACCACTTTGATAACAGCCCTTTCTCCAAACGAATGGTACCTCCTGAAGGTGAATAACTCTACGCACGTTTGGACGTTTGGTGCACATATGTGAATGGGGGGAGTATGTTGTGGTGGAAGTGAGCGACCGCTTCTTGTCCACATGACGGCAACTCCTTTTCCGCTTGTTTTCATATTCTTATTTTATTTTTTTGGGGGGAGAATAAAGTCTTAACGGCACTAAAAAAGCATATTTTTTTTTAAAAAAAAAAAAGGTGTTTTAAAAAGGGAAATGCAAAAAAAAAAAAAAAAAAAACTCAAAATGACGCAAAATAAGGTAACGTAGTAGTAACATAAAATGACGTAGCAGACGTGGTACCCTTGGTAGACGTGTTAGACGAGAGATAACAACAGGAATAAAAACATGGTGGTTGTGACGTGATGAAAGGAATCATAAGGGCGTGACCTGTGCACAGCATATGTTAAGCTGCTGGCCGCACACACTATGCACGTTACACGCTTATATGCACTATGTATATATGCTCACTTGGGGGGGGGAGGAAAGGGTTCACACGTAGTCACATATATGCACACATATGGGTACGGACATACGTGCGTACGCATATGTATATATATATATAGATGTCCAATTTAAAAAAAAAAAAAAAAAAGGTGAAGAGGAGAAGGGGGAGGGGGGGACGCAGGCACGCGTACATAATACATGCACGCATACATGATACATGCATACATACATGCATACTTACATGCATACTCACATGCGTACTCACATGCGTACTCACATGCTCACTTTCTATACACACATTTGTCGTACACGCGGCACTGCTACAAATGAACCTCCGCGTGCATAATATTGGCCCAAAAGGCACGCAACGTGGAGGGGATGAATAATGAACGTACGTTGGCGGGCATTGTCTGTACTAAATGTGTCCCGCTCTTTCAAACTGAGGCCGCATTTTTTGCTGTTCACACGGCCGATACAGACGTGATCGTCTCGATTGTTGTGCGCTTCTTCAGGTTCTGCCAGTAGTACAACCTGCTTCATCTTCATGTTGTTCTTTTCCACCAAAGGGAAGCGACGACCCTTGGCAAAATTAGGCCTTGTTTTTAGGAAAGTATCTCCACAGCCAGGAGAATAACCCCACTTGCGCATTTCCTCCACTGCTTCCGGCGGCATTTTTACTGGCATTCGCATTTTTTTGTGCATTGCTGTCCGCACCGCCTTTCGATTTATTATCAGTTGCTCCAGATTTAGACTTGTCTGCGCTGTTTGCACCCGCTTGTCCTCCGTCTTTATGCGAACTTCCATAGTCGCTTTTTACAGGAGATGCGCCTATATCATCAGGCTTTTTCACAATCTTTATGTTTTTGGATATGACTGTTTTTTTTACCGGTTGCATGAAGTCCTGCGGGAAGGTACAAAAAAAAAAAAAAAAAAAAAAAAAAAATACTAGTGCGAT